TTGCATGACTCTGACGTCTTCTTCTTTTAGTTGGCACTTCTTCAAGAATTATTTCAAGCAACACATTGTAGAATACGTCAACTGCACATTCAACATTTCCTGCAGTTCTTAATATTACTTGCCAATCGACAATGTTCAATCTATTTCTAATGTTATCATAATTTGCTGAATTGTAATCAAAGATTTCATCAAATTCGCAGTCGTTGGTTCTTTCATTTATGTGAACGAATAGAGAATACTCTATTGCTGTGTGAAACATTTCATTTCTCCATATGGGACTTAACGATTCAGTCACACAGAAATCTTCATAAGTATTTGTTAATAAAAGGTCTAAATAACAATTTTGTTGATTTTTCACATAGTTAATTTGATAGAGTCCTAAATTTGCAATTTTGTCAAAAATGAAATGGAGTGTTTCATTTTCCCCAACGACTGGAAGTAAGATGCTTTCATTGTCCATATCAGAAATAAAGTCAACATTGCGTTGGTTAAAGTCCCCATATATATGAACTTTTACTTCAGGGGATAAACTAGACAAAATTTCTTCCGCTTTTCCAAAAAACTTATCATATGTATCCTTATGAGCATTGTTTGGAGGAAAGTATACCGAAGCAAAGACATGTGTTTCGTCTGCTACTTGCGCTTTTACCCATACATGTTCGAATTCTTTAAATTTAGTAGCCATAATAATTTCTGAATTCAATTGGGTCGAAATCGCTATTAATACTCCACCTCCCGATTTTTTTCCAGACCATTGAAAATTGCGGTCGTCTCTATAAACGTTATAATTGTTACCAAAAACTTCTTCACTTCTCACACTATCATCCCAACTTGTTTCATTAGCCATTATGACAGAGTAAGTAGAACTTAATATATTTTTGTTAATTTCATTTATTTTACCGGCGCTTCTCATGCGGTTAACATTTTGGCAATATACCAAAATTTCTGTACTGGTCTGAAGATTAGGTGAAGAAGTTGATGGTAACCTGTCATTCATAAAACTATTATCAAAATTATTTACCCCTGATCCATGTTCCGAATTTGTTTCGTTCTGCAAAGTGTCGTGATCTTCGTTATTTTCTTCCTCTATGGAGTGTGTCAGTTTTGTAGAAAAAACGAGTGCCTCTCCTTGATGTAGAGAAGTCGTGAAGTCCTGGATAATGTCGGGGTCTGCCGGATCATTGTCTTCCTCCAAGGGGTGCGTCAATTTCGTACAAAACACGAATTCCTGCATACACACGCCTCGCATGATGCAGTTGCAGCCATCCCGTTATGCAAGTGCGCTGGAACGGTACGTGGGTATACATCGCACGCCGGGTAGGGGTTTAAGATTTCCCCTCGTTGGAATTGCATCGTGGGTCGATAGTTAGCCTGCGGCGGTCTGGAAAACCGATATTTCGCTGCCGCAAGAAGCTCTCGATCAGGTGGCAGTAGGTTGTTTCTATTCTGACTAACACTGCTGCGGAAACTGTTACGGTTAGTGTTGTTGTTTCGATGATTGTTAGATATGTTATTGATGTTGTTGTTGTTGTTGCCAAAATTGTTGTTGTTGTTGTTGTGGTTGTTGTTATTTTTGCTGTTGTTGTTGTTGTTGTGGTTGTTGTTGTTGTTGTTGTTGTTGTTGTTGTTGTTGTTGTTGTTATTGTTGTTGTTTTTGTTGTTGTTGTTTTGGTGTTGTTGTTGTTGTTGTTGTGGTTGTTGTTGTGGTTGTTGTTATTGTTGTTTTTGTTGTTGTTGTTGAGAAAGTTTTGTTTCCTTCGCCTTCTAGCCTTTCCAGCTATTTTTTGCTGTATCAAACGGCGTGATTTTCGGTTATCGTACTCGGTCCAGTCTGCCTTCCATACCTTCCTGGTACCAAGTAGACGCCACCCTGAGTCATCGTTGTTGTTATTTAATTCCACCTCCAAGCTGGGGCACGAGTCAGATGGCGATTGCAAAGGTGCAGCGCTCCGTGTTGAGGCTATATTTGCTGACAGTGACTTCAGCTCGTCAAGAATATCGAGTTCCAGCACAGAGTTACAGCTCATGGTTAGAGATAAGGCGAAAAAAAAGGGAGCAGCAAAAAAACTTCAAAGAAGATGTGAAGATGATGCGGAGGATGCAGACGAAGCGAATAGGAGCAACAACTGATAGTAAGGACCGGCTACGGAGAAAACGGAAAATAGTGTGGAGAAAATATCATGAAGAGAGAAGATGGTGAAGAAAGAAGACAATGAATGTATTTAATAAGGAAAGATGAAATTTATGGCGAAGAAATGAAAAACAAAAGATAAGCAAGCAGACGATAACCCAGAACGAGAGGAAACGAGCAAACGATTAGAATGCTAAGTGAAATTAAAATTGTACAATAAAGAATAACACTCACTCTTACATCACTCTAAACACACCCACACACCGCAGGATGTAAAATGTCGCTAATAAAGAACAACAACAACAGCTAAGGGGCCTCCCTTAGCTCAGTCAGTAAAGGCGCAGCTACAAAGCAAGACATGCTGGAGGTGGCTGGGTTCAATTCCCGGTCCGGTCTAGGAATTTTTCGGGTTGGAAAATTTCTCGACTTCCAAGGGCATAGAAGTATGATTGGACTTGCCACACAATTATACTAATGCAAAAATGGTACAGGCATCGAAAGCTCTCAATTAATAACTGTGGAAGTGCATCTAGAACACTAAGTTGTGAGCACGCAATAAGCTAATATGCGATATGCAATAAGCTTGAAATGTAAAGAAGAAGAAGAACAATAATTGTTGTCACTATTGTTCATTTGCAAAAATCCCGCCATTTTTTTTTTCAAACTTCCACTGCTATCACAAAGTCGTCATTGGTTGTTACGAGCTCCCAGTCACAATCTCGAAGGAAACATGCTAATTTGAACACGTGTCACATTCTTCAATCTCACAGCATCACTACTGGCTGAATGGTTGGTTGGCACCCATGTGCCAACAATCCAGACAATTTGCAGTAGAAAACACATAAATTCGCCATTTTTTCCCACGGCAGGTGGCGGTTTGTGCACCCGAGTTATATTTATGGCAAGCAGAGCAGCAGCTCTGTCGTTGCTCATCGCTCTGCCGTGTCGTTCCGAGATAGTAGTGTCATTTTTCTGGCCATCCAACACAAAGCTGCCTTGGCTGATGGCTATAAGTTGATGAGTTGTTTGCCTTTTGTCTCTCCATTTCAGCAGTAGAATTTTTGATGAACCTTTTCTTCGCCCAATGGCTGCCGATGCCATCCCCAAAACGATGCAAATTCATCTTGCCGCGGATGCAGAAGTTTGTTTTTCAACCTGGCCGTATGTTTCGTGATGGCTTCATTCAAGAAGTCCCCTAGCAGACAGGTACACGATTGCAAGGTTTGCAGTACCGAACCGAAAGTCTAAGTGCAACATGTTGTCATACATTCCCTCTGTCGCCCCGAAGGAATCGGTCCGGTGGCACTCGTCGTGCTCTGAAGGATACCTGATCTGACAATTTCTTGCTGTAGCGCACTGGTTGCCATAGATTGCCACTGACAACTGCTCGTCGGTGGATGGACGGAGGATATCAGGTTGAGTGATCCCTTTGATAGATGGCTTTCTTGGGACTGAAGGCAGGGAAGAGAAAATTCAACATTTCGAGTGATAAAAAGATTCCACGGATGGACGACCTGTGCGCACAGGGGAACTTTGGGACGTACCAACAATGGCGTCCCTTATAGGTTATCCTGCTCACATGCACCTAGATACGGAAGGGGTGCACGCAACGACACAAATCAAATTCCATTGGTGCATGTTTCCTTTTCCTGACTAATTCAATGAAGCTTTTAGTGCTGGTCTGCCAGACGAATTCTTCGAACAAAGCATAAAGCTTGCGTACAATGACAATAATGGCAGAGTTTGCAATCCGGAATCAGTAGTATGTGGTGGAGGAAAGGGTTGTCTTTGAAGTGTGACTTGTACTCCCGGGAAAGGCTGCTTTCGGTGCAAGGCAATGGCAAACACTACAATTCAATTAAAATGTGGCATGGTACCGAGAAAACGCCGCAAGGTTAGAATACATGTTTGTCAAATTTTTGGCAAACCAGATTTACGTGAGGTTTAAGTGTGTTGGCTGCGCACTGGTAGTGAGAACTGATGAGTAAATTATGTGGTAAACTGTTTACCATAGAATACGTACAGTTTATCTGAATAACTTTGCCCAAGAAGGGAACCTTCTATCTAGTCAAGATGTTAAGTTAGGGCAAACAATAAAAAATTAATGTCACTAAGGCCAGTTGGTGAGCTTATTCTGAACTATACTCTTTACCATAAAATAGGTACTGTCAAGATATTAAATTACTGAGCTAAACTTTGTTTCTTAAGATAGCTGCTGTCCATTTGAACAACTTTGCTGGAGACGGGAATCATCCATATGAGCAGGATCTTTAGATAGCATTGTATCATGTTTATTAAAAATGACGCAACTTGATCATTTTAGTTTTAGCGCCATCTACTGAATCAGCATCATCATATTTGGTTGGGATCTCGTGATATAAGCATCTCGTACAACAAAATATGCCACTTCATGGGTATAGTTTTACAATGACCCCTCCCCCGAGAGATCCACCCTTCCAGAAAAAAAGTCTGATAATTTAACAGAAGTTCAGGTAAATTTACTTTGCAAATCATCTGAAATTTCAGAATCCCATTGAAATTTCGTTAAGATACGGCAACACCTTCCTGCATCGTGTAAGGCAAAAACTGACATTCCGTAGTAACTACTGTAGTTAGAAAATACCAGCTACTACAATTTGGTTGTTTCAAAAAATGTAAAGCACCTTGGATTACCACAGCTATGAAGTGGTTAAACGAACGATAACGTAAGTCCCAGCTTTAGAGGCAGAATTTCCCAATGACTGAAAATATCCAACATCTTTTGAATTGCTACCGAGATAAGCGGGAGACTTTACCCACTTAAGTTTGCCACTAGCTATTGTATAAAACAAACACCTGCAACAGAGAACTGAATCATTCCAAGGTTGACTCCAGCTCCTGCTATCCAACATTCGGAAAAGACGAAAAATGGCAATCAGAACTACCCTCGTAGTGCTGCTCTCAGTGGCATTCACTACATTGGCCCTCCCAGAGCAAAAGATCGTCGGTGGACAATTCGCCGAGGAGCATCAATTCCCGTACCAAATTGGACTGTTCTTGAATGGAGAATTCCACTGCGGAGGTTCCATTATCGACTCCCAATGGGTGCTCACCGCTGCGCACTGCGTTTGGGGGTAAGTTTTAGTTAGCACAAAGTTTAAACAGCACTGTTATTAAATTTAATTTATATTCCGCCCAGAGCCCCACCGAGCAGCCTGCAAGTCTACGTCGGATCGTCCAATCTTACAGGCAGCGGTCATCTGTTAGACGTTGAAGACACCTTCGCTCACGAAGCATACGGGGAATTCAAGAACGATATTGCATTGATGAAATTGAAACAGAACATTCAGTTCGACGACAGCATTCAAAAGATCGAGCTGTACAGTGGTGAAGAGTTGAAGGAATCCAGCCAGGTCATCATCTCCGGGTTCGGACGCATCGGAACCGGAATGTCAGTATCGGATCAGTTGAAGTTCAATACAATGTACGTTGTGCGAGATGAAGTTTGCTACGAGGAAACGGGAATCCGGTACGAAGGGGTGATTTGCTTCAACAGCGGCGTCGACAACGGTGCTTGCAACGGCGACTCCGGTGGTCCGGCAGTGTATGAAGGACAGCTGGTTGGTGTGGCCAACTTTGTGATAGATGGATGTGGCACTCAGTATCCGGATGGGTATGCAAAGGTGGCTTACTTCGTTGATTGGATTCAGGAAACTTTGGAAACGAACTAAAGAGCTTCTGTGAAAATATAATAATCAATAAAGGATTTTATTGGGAAATGCCATTTTAATGATTCAGATTTAAAAATATTAAAATCGTAGCAAACTAGATAAAGATCACAGGGGCCTTACGGGAGATTTTCAAATTATAGTGAGGCTTTGGTGTAATACTTATGGAAAGCTAGATAAATTCAAATTTTAACGAGAAGTGTCCTAACATAAGGTTGATTTAAATATCTGAATTTGAATTTGAATTGTATCAGATGACACACAACATAAAGGTTCCTATTTTTAAAAATGAGAAAACTAAATATTAGGGTGGGTCATCATGATAATTTTTATTTTTTTTTTTAATCCCATTTGGGGTTCCAAACAACTGTGCAATTTTTTTTTATTTATTTGTACATGGTTCGTTGCATAGTAGATTCAAAATTGTGGTTTCTAGCAATGAAAATGCAAAAAAGGAAGTTTTCCCATACTAATATCCACACAAATTTCAATCGCAATGCGGAAAGCTGGATTACAACCAATCGTTCCCAAATATCGCACAGTTGTTTGGACCCCACATGGAACCAAAAAAGGGTTGCTCTCGCTTGATGAAGTAAGGTTTGCGTTTTCCATAGAACGGTGACCCTTCCAACTGAATATGCTTACTAACTAGTACCAAACCTAGCTCATTTACCCTAGTTGGACTCATGAACAAGTTTTATTTACATAGGGGAAATGTTGGCTTCGGCAAAACCTTAACCTATTATTGTCAGGGGGGTAAACAACATCCTTGAGAGCTCAATTTTGGCATGTAGATACATTGTGTTTCAGAGCATCTATTGGTCAAATTTGAGTGCTCGAGGACTTTGTTTACCCCCTGACGATAATAGGTTAAGGTATTGCCGAAGCCTACATTTCCCCTATTTTGATCTATTAACTCGATAACTGTTTCAACTAAATCACATTTATTGAGCATTTTTGTATGAAATTGAAAATATATTAAGATTTTATTGGAAATGTCATGATTAACTAACTAGCAATGGACAATAGGCGTATACGCTTCTTAGCTAAGTTTTGTTCTTCAAATTTCCCTCTTATTTTGGTCTTATTTTGATACTCATATTTGAGGATTGAATGTCATTATGAACCTAACATTTGGATTCCTGAGAATTAAAAAAAAAAAATGAAAAAACATCTAGCAGGCTGTGACAAATTTTTGTCTATAGTTACTGGCGTGCACAGGGTGGGGCAAGGTGGGGCAATTGCCCCACTTTTTATAACTATGATTTTGATATCCACGTTTACAAAATTATGATATGACATAACTTTCTTGATAACTTGATTTGAAAGTAAAATAATTTCATTTCATAATAAAAGGCCCTGAAAACCTTTTATTGCGTCAATTCCTTTGAGATGGTGCCTGAAATTTGCACCACAAAGGTGCATGAAGGGACAAACTTCGATGAAATTCAAGGGTATTGAATTCTGAGGATAGTTCCAAAAGAAAAGATTTCTGGAGATGATTTTATGAAAATTCTGTGAATAATTTCTAGTACATACTGCAGATAGTACCATAATAATTTTGAAAAGAATACCGAGAGGATCAAATTTTAAATGAAATTTAAAAAGGATGTTAAGGAAAATTTCAATGGAATTCCGAGGGTAATTTCAAGTTCATTCTGGGACTTCTTCTAAAACTTTGGGGAAATTTAATTCCAAGGTGTTCTGAAAAAAAAGTTCAAAAATATTACGAAAAGAACCTCAAGGATATTGAATTTTAAGGACAGTTCCAAAATATTTCTGGGGAGAGTTCAAATAAAATTCTGCGGATAATTTTTAGTGAATCCTGCAGATAGTTCCAAAATATTTTTGAATAGAATACCGAGAAAATCAATTTTTGAGCGAAATTCCAAAGGGATTTTAAGCAAAATTTCAAGCCAGTTCCGAGGATAACTTCTAGCTCATACCAGGAAAAATTTCAGAAACTCTAAAGGAATTTCAGTTCCAAGGTGTTCTAAGAAAAAATCATGAAGAGTTCTAAGTATAATTCCAGTGGACTTCTGAGAAGAATTCAAAATAGTTCTTAGAAGAGTTCTAAAAAAATCCGAGAAGAACATCAAGGATATTGAATTCTGTGGACAGTTCCAAAGGATTTCTAGGGAGTATTCCATGAAAATTTTGCGTATAATTTCTAATAAATCCTGCAGATAGTTCGAAGATAATTCCGAAAAGAATACCGATAAAATTAAATTTGGAGTAAAATTCCAAAGGGATTATAAGGAAAATTCCAAGGGATTAGCTCATTTCGGTAATAATTTCTACTGAGAAAATTCTTCTGAAACTCTAAGGGAATTTGAGTTTTAAGATGTTGTGAGTTAAAGGCAAGAAGAGTTCTTAAAAATAATTTAAGAGGACCTCTAAGAAGTATTTCAAAAGAGCTCATAGAGTTCTAAAAAATTCAAAAAGAACTCAAGGAATTCTGAGGATGGACTTTTTCAGAACTGTACAAAGTTTAAAGACAGCTTTTGGATTCCCTAATTGAAACTTTGGTCTATTGTTGTCTTACTCGCTTGTCAAAATAGTTTGTTCCAATCGTTACATTTTTTAAACCTTTTGAATGATTCTATTAGCCTTGGCATTTAGGTCAAAATTTGAAAAAAAAAATAGAACTACAATTTTCGCTGAAAATGACCAAGTTCAACGCACTCGCAACGGTAATAGTAAAGTGTAACGACAACAGCATATAATACCCCGTAGATACTATGGCTTCTATCATGTTATATAGACTGTCTTTCAATAAGTGAATAAACTAGATGTATGAGTGCTCATTGCAAGACAGCCTATATTACATAATATGAGCCATAGTCTGTGCGAGGTATAAGGCAAAGCGGTTACAAAATCGCTATATAATAAAACGTTTCATCGATATTGTGCGCATACTTTGCAAAGGTGGCCGACCACTTCGTGAACATTCTGAAGGAGCGGAAAGTGTGCCACCCAGTTGGTGGCTAACTGCGATCCTGTGCTGGAAAACACTTGGCGGAAGGTGCCAAAAATTGCCAGTACACAAGTAACGCCTGCTGAATCCAACCACCAAGGCAGCAACATTGCAGCAAATGTATCATTTCGGTTATTATTGCAACCATTTAACGAACTGGTCATCATCGACATCGTCGATGGGATTAAATTGCCAATTCCACTGGCTGTCTGAAAGCAGTTTGCATTGTAGAAGATGAACCACCACCGGAGCAAAAAATTAATAAAATTAGCTAAATTGAAAAGTAGGGAAACAGTGGTGGATGGAAAGCACCATTCACCACGCACTTTGGAGCACTCCCCATCCCCAGATTAAATGCACCATAGAAGAAAAAAATTGCCCTCCTTAACAAGATTCCTGTGTACGCTGGTGCTATAGGAAGAACTCCAAGGAATGAGATCAAAGTAGGTCGCGCTGCGAAAATGACGTTTTTTTTTGTTTTGCTGCGCCGTTTTCGTTCTAGTGGCATTTTTAAAAAGTGTTAATTTGAAAGTACAGAAGTGTTGTTGAAAAGTGCAATAAGTGAAAATGTTCAAATTCCTATCCGTTGCATGTGGTGCCAACTGTTCTAACCTACGCGTAGCTACGCTCAGCAAAGTTTATTTGCCTTCCTCTGTCCTCGATAGGAAACTTACTAAATACGCGTCAATCAAGTATTGCATTACTGCTTAATTGAAAGTTTCAGTACATTATCAATGGTGTATATTTGCATCGATAATATATTGAAGCGGGGTTTATCATGTGTAAAATAAAACTTCGAAATGCTTGCGTTCTTGAAATGGGCTATTGTAGCTGCGGTAGAGCTGTCACCTTCTAACTCCCGGGTTAAAGCTTCTTTGCATTCATAAGAAATGATTGCAGGCAGATGTTATCCATAATACCACTGCCAGACAGTGGGAGTTAGGCCACGGGCGAATCTTCCATCAGAATGAATTGTGCATATGTTTAGAATCAACAAACATTTTCAGGCGCAAAGGAGCAACAGGATCGAGCTGATAACTTTTCTTAATTCCAAAATCTGAAGACTGTTTTGAATAATATGTTTAGGTAATGGGCAGCAACAACGGAAAGATAAACGACTTACAGCCTCTATTTATTAAATGCTTGATATAACGATTGCCAGCAACGCCGGCTGGGCGTATCCTATGGCTTACCCTCCCTACTAAAAAAATTCCACCCTTCCCGTAACACTTATGAGGGGTCGTAGAGTTCTCTGCATCTCTCTTAAGTAAGTGTCGGACTAACATTCCTCCCCTTTCCCCATCATATGCAAGGACGTGGCCAGGCAGGACAGCTCTGGTCTGTTGGAGGGAGACACATCCTTTGTCTAAGAGGTAATTACTATCTAACAGCAACGGATGAAGGTGGGTCTCCTTCTTAACAACAGTTTCGATCTCGTACCACCTACGACATTGTGCAACCTGGCTTATGCTATGCTATGCTATGGTAGTAGGAACTCCAAGGAATGTATGAAAATATTCAACGGTAAGGTTGCAAGAAATGTCGATGCATTAGAAATATTTGTTCAGTTATGGTTATGAAAAATCGACTGTTTTCAAAAATCTCTTCGGTGCTACCTCTGATTCATGTTTTTCAGAGTTGCTGGCATACAATTTTTTTGTAACATCCTTGGCTATCAGGCAATCACAACCCGATGATCGTTATAATGTATATAATAATAAGTTTAGAAACACGGATAAAAATCATATTCTTTAAAATCAGTTTAAAAATCTAAAATCATTAATTGATAAAACAGGTTTTCAGCATAAAAATGCAAATAACACATTTTTTAAAATAGTTTAAGTTATGATATTTTATCGCTAATAAATACAATTTCTTAGTTTCACCATTACCGGATAACCCACCCTACCCAATTGAATCATCGTGAGCAGGCATGGAAAATCATTTGCATTCATTTCATACATTCATTTACATTCATTTGCCTATAACTTTTTTCATCAACAGCATTCCGCAAAATAATGTATAGAGCTTTTGTAGGTTTTGTTATTAACTACAACTTTTGCTCATAACTCAAATCTGTATCTCTTATGCA